CATTTATTTAGAAAGCATTGCTCATAGTGAACTGCCACCCTCTGGTGTTGCTGACTTGTGTCCTTTTCAACATTCAATATTTACAAGCTAAATTTTTTTTTTAAAGGCTTGTGAAAGTGTGAAAGATCCCCCCAAAAATTCTAGGCTCAATGTTATGATTTATCATAATGAAAATATTTTAACAAACTACATGTAGTGAAGTAACAAGTCCAATATTTCTCCCTTAAAACTAGTGGAGTGAAAATATAAATTAGTCTGAAAACAAAATACTCAAGTAGACTAAAAGTTCCTCAAATTGTACTCTTGTGTAGTACTTGAGTAAATGTAATTAATTACATTCCACCATTTGATGAATGTAATAGGTCAGCTCCAAGTATTTCACTTTTTTATCTTTTTTTTATACAATGGAGTATTTTCTAAATGTTGATTTGTGAGTGAATTGTCAGTTTTAATTTTTATTCAAAGTGTCTAAAATATTTGGAACAATATAAATCACAAGTTTGAGCTCTTATTTGTGTTACACTAAAAAGTAAACGGTTGTTTTGAATTTCGTGTGCTTTTATTTTGAAGGCCAAGCTCTCCTGCCTACAGCAGATCAGTTGTGTTGCTAACAACAGTGAGCCCAAAGCGACGCAGGACTCCCACCACTCAGTTCAGGACTTTTTCGTGTCTCTCGGGTGTCCACGGCACCGACAACAACCCGGACTAACAAAACACGCCGTGAACAAGCTAGCAGCCGCCTTTACCCGCCTCATGGACTTGTGAGCCCGCTGTGTGCGAGTTGCTAAGCTAACAGCTAAGCTAACATGGCCGCCAACCCACCCGGACCAGGCTTCCAGAACAAGACCCGGGTGGCCATCCTGGCGGAGCTGGACAAGGAGAAGCGGCGGCTGCTGCAGAGCCAGTCCATGAACAGTCCCGGAGCCAACATCCCTCTGTCGTCCAGACCCAGCCTGAAGGAGGTGAGGGACAGCGCCGAGCAGCAGCACATCGCCGCCCAGCAGAAGGCCGCCCTGCAGCACGCCCACGTCCACTCGTCCGGCTTCTTCATCACCCAGGACTCGTCGTTTGGGAACCTCATCCTCCCGGTGCTGCCCCGGCTGGAGCCCGAGCTTTGACTCTGAAGGACGGACTCAAATACAGACACTGATAGCAGCTCACAAACTGTTGTTCTGGTTTAATGTGCTCTTGTCTTGTAATTAGACGCTTATTTAGACATCAAACACTCAGACTGACTGAATAAAACATGACATTTGGACATCAGTGTGTCTGTATCAGGAGGGGTTAGAGCTTGGTCCTTATAAAGACCTGTAATTGTATTTCTATTGTAATTATATAGTCAGCCTTTCACTTCACTAATGATGACTTAGGCTGTGTGTTGTCAGGTCATGACACATTTACTGCTGTAATAACAGTGATCACTCAGTGAAGGCTTTTGTGTGGAGGGTGATGATGGAGACGGAGGAGAAAGCATCTGCTCTATAGAGTTAGACAAACGTTGGAGGANATGGATGGATGGATGGATCAAATGGATCCAGCAGAGGCCACATTTTGAATTATTGGCTCTTGGAAAATGATAAAACTGCAACATTTTTAAACAAAGCTGGTACTGGGACCCCAGAAAGTCCCTTCCTGGAATATATAAGAATGCATCCATATTTTAACTACAAATAATGTCTTTGGTTGATATTTTACCAATGACTGAGGGCTTCAATGTCACTAAAATTTAAAGTGTGGAAAATATTGTGAGTCAAGGTCCCATTTTTTTGCTATATTGATGTGCCAAAATGGTGACGTGGACTCATTCGTACGCCCACAAAATCGGACATGCAAAGAGGTTTAATAATAATTCAACACATATCACAGTAAATGTCTTGCTAATTGAAGTAAATTATGGCAAGGGCTATAACAAGACGAGTAAGGCAGGATATCAATGCTGCACTAAAGGCAACAATAGAAAACAATGCAAGAGTATAATTCCTCAATTGATTTAATTTGCAGAAAGGTAATTCACACAAACCATTTCAGTGTCTCTGTTGGTCTTAATGTCCAGTTCGTCTTGTCTTCTCCTTGTAGTAGTTTAAGCTGGGATGGATGACGGAACATGTGCCATTAGTACCAGTAGATATCATCTGTTGTTCAACTTGAACAACAGATTGGACCTGGGCTGACCCTGAAGGACACAAAATATACAACAGAAATCACTTTTTAAAAAAAACTCTCAATCATTGCATTATTTGTAGTCATTTATGTGTTATTACATTTGCTAATTTAAATTCTCAGTTGATATTTGGACAGTTTACAAAGGCCACACTTACAGAGAGATTATTCACAGTGAACTACTGCCATCTAGTGTTGGGGTCTATTATTAAAACACACAAAAGCAAAAATAGAAACTTCTGCAGTAAATGAACTGCAAATAAAACTACTATTACTTTTATGACTATT